ATTACATACTAGGCTCAAGTCACCTGAAATATCAACCACACATCTGCATACTGTACAATTTGTAGAACAAGTACACAATATCAAGAAAATTTAGGATTCTAATTTTCGTTACATGATGTGTTTCTCCAGGCAGCCAAATTCAATTTAAGGATTTTTTGTACATATATATTCAAATTTCAATCAGAGCGTAGAAAAGGGGGAAAAAAAGAAGGGAATTCCATCAAAATAACATTGGATTAGATTTTCATAAATTATTTCACATTTTCGAAAACCCAAATAGAAATGATGCATACCTTCTGCAAAATTTCACTCTTATTTCTCCCGCGTTTTTCCTCAATGAATAAACAAATAATAAAAGGAACAAACAAATAATAACCAGATGGTCCAGACTGAAATCTGAATTGAAGAAGAGTAGAAGACGAATTACTACCTTTTGGTCGAATCGGCCCCTTGCTTTCAATTTCCTTCCTGTCCCTTCAATTTCTTTCCTATGTCCGTTCAATTTCCTGAAATGCCTAAGTTTCTGCTGGACTATTGGACTGCTTCTTGGTGGTATCACTAAGAGTTTTGAGGCCTTGCGCCCAAGCCACATTTTTGGAGGCTCTAGGCGGTTGCCTAGGTGGCTTGGCCCCAGGGCCGGCCCTGGACAGCAGCTATAAAGGTAGGGGGTGCGAATGGTTTTTCGTTTTAAACCTCGGTTCTCAATTAGAAGATGATAAAGATGCATACAGCTAACATATTAAAGCCTCATTCATTTTAGTGACACAATTTGCAGCAAAATTCAAATACAGTTGGTAAAAGCATCTCCAAAAGTCTCTTTAAATATGAGATATTCTCTATTTTAAAAAGTCAATATTTAAAATTATACTCCAAGAAATTCTTTAAATTAACATTTTAATTTAAAAAGTGGGCCAAATTCACTCTCCATAATTAAATGCATTCAAAGTGTCTTAATTTTCAATGTAGAAAAATAATAAATTAATCTAGAGAAAAGCTAGTGAAAATAAAAAATACAGGAAAATAATAAATATTTTTAGGAGTAGTAAAATTAAGTGTTAATAAAAAGAGCTTGACAAAGTACTTCAAAATTTTAACTCTTCAAATTTATTGATACTATCCAAATGATAAAATATGCTCTTTAAAAATAGAGTCTTTTGGAGATATTTTAAACTATGGAGGAGTTAGTTCTAGAAACCAAGTCTAGATGCAAAAGTTGACATTTAGGGTCTGTTTGATTGCAAAGATGGTATTTGGGTAGAAAGAAAATGAATTACAGCGAATTGAATTACCTAGAAATTATTTTCCTGGGAATTGTAAATTATTGTGTTTGATTGGTATAATTTTTCATGTGAAAAATGTTGAAGTAAAAGTGTTTTTTGGCGTTTGTTTGGTTTTGTTTTACATGAAAATTGTCAATTTAAGGGATATCCACTTTTACCATTGTTCCTAGAATTTGTTTCCATTGCCAACCAAAAAAAAAAAAAAAAAGGAAAAAAAAAGATAAAAAAATCACCTATATTTTGGTGTTCGTTTGGCTTTATTTTACATGAAAATTGTCAATTTCAGGGATATCCTCTTTTACAAATGTTCCTAGAATTTGTTACCATTGCCAACAATTAAAAAAAAAAAAGCTAAAAAAAAAGGTGGAAAATCAAAAGCCACCTATCCCTTGAAAAATAAAAGGTGGAAAATCACGCTTTAAGGTGTTGTACCTAGAAATTCATGAAAAATCAATTCCCTGAAAAATTTTGTCAATCAAACAGGTCAAAAGTGGAAGTTGGAATTCGAATTCCAAATTTCATGAAAAATTTCGTGTAATCAAACGGAGCCTTAGTGAACAAATTAAAGTCTCGAAGCAACTATCAATTATGAAGTCTGAGGGAATAGACGTGTCGCTGTGTACTAATAATCTTGATTTCTTGACACTATAATAGGGGTATCGACTTCAATATTCTACTCACTTTAAGTAAAACAAAATCATGCCAACTTGCCCCCCAGGGCACATCCAAGTTGGTAGAACAATCACATTGGGGAGCTCTGGAACCAAGCGTGGAGAGTTCGATTTCTGGTTGGAGCAGCTAAGTGTTGTAATAACCAGAGGAAGGGTTGGAGCAGTTTGGTGATGTAATAACCATGGAAGAGGCTTCCTTTGGGGAAGGAGTAAAAGTCATGTGGGAACCTGGGAACTAATAAGGGCACAATCTGCGATTTACCTTCCTGAGCAGCTGAGGGACCGGAGGTTCAGGGACGAGAATATAGTCTGGCGCAAGCTGGGACACCTCGTTAAAAAAAAAAAAAAAAAAAAAATCATGCCAACTTTATAATCATTATATTGATACTTCATTTTAAGAAAATTTATAAAAACTTTTTTTTTTTTTCTAATAAAAACTTTATTGGAGAGGAGGGGGCTTGGGAGTGAAGTTGAGTAGCTTCCGTTGGTCGGGGCTTGGGTGGTTGGTGGTGATGGGACTATGGAGAAGAAGGTGAAGGATTTTCGGTTTTCTTTGTTCTTTTGTTTTGTTTGTTGGGTAATTTCCATCTTTGTACATCATTTTAACGGACTTTTTAAGAATTGTCAATACAGATGGTGGCAGTGCAGTAGAAGACCAGGGATAGAACGATAAAGAACGAAGGTTGAGAAAAAAAAGTGTAAAAGAGATCGAGATTGAGGACTTCAACCCTAAATTTCACTTAAAATTTTGAGCTTTAGATTTACCCAACTTTTTTATTTTTTATTTTCCAATTTCTAGCTACTCAAGTATGTAAATAGTTAATCTTTCCCATCTTTTATATCCAAATCAAGAAAAGAGCTGAACGGAAACTAGAGAGCAATTGTTTTAAAGACTGCGAGGTTATTTTACAAAATTTTCGATAATAAAGTTTAGTGATTTTTTTTTATAAAGGTAGATGTAATATACGGTTGAAAGTTGATAAAAATTGTAAATTTCACAAAATATATGGTTAAAATTAAAATTTTACGAGTTGGAAAGTTGATAATTTTATTATTATTATTTTTTTTAATAAATATCTATTCCTCACTGCACAATTTTCCAAGAAATAGTCAAAGTGAAATATTATTAACATTCATTTTCTTTAGCCGAAAGATGTCTAATTTCACCTTATTAAGCCTCTGTTTGATAGTCATTAATTGTCAAAATGCATTTTTTCTATCACATCAATTGGGAGGGGGGGTGGGGAATCCCATATTTTATTCTCCAATTCAAATTCAAAATAGTGGAATTTTCATCTTTGCCTTTGTTTGTCCTTACCTTAAATTTTTTCAGCACACGCATCGATTCAATCAATGTTACAAAGATGAGGATAAAAAACATTTTTTTTTATTGCCAACACTCCAAAAAAAGGAAACAGATAAAGGAAATAGATCATAGTAATTCTATTCAACCCCATTAGTGCTTAGCGCATCACTGTGACATAGTCTGTTAAGCACCAACAGAACTAAATAACATTATTCAATATATCATTGTTGTAGGGCGCCTATGAAATCCCACGCATTATCCATATATTCAATGACCAAGAAATTGAGGGTCGCAACAGAGCAAGTAGCCATTTCTGAAGTTTTAGTGTCTCGTTGTGTTCGAACAGAGAGTTGAGGGAGACCATCAAACATCGAATGCATAAAACAACTCCAACTTATTCTTTATACAGAATCCCAAGACCTGTGATATCAATTCATGCACTTGAGATGAAATGATGAGCGTTGAGTTTCATTCTGTTCAAACAAAATAAGGCACAGTAACTACATTTCATACACATTTCTTTCAAATTTGACAGGATTTTCAAAGACTAAGACTAGTATAGTGTGTACACTATACAGATAAGTTGAAATCGACGTAAATTTACTCGTTAACTATTCTTCAACCCTCAAGAGAGAAACAATAAAGATTCAAGACCAACTTTAGCAAACAACTCCCACACAAGTATGCAATGTACTTTCAAAAACAGCAATGCTGTCAATATATAAACTTTGTGCACTTCAATCATCCCTTAAAGATTTAGAGAGCAAATGAATCTATTGGCATAATCACTTGAACACATAGTTAGAAAAGGTAAAGCGGAAGTAGAGTATAATTTGACTTTCAAGCACTCAATTGACCACCTGGGGGAGAAGTTATAGACAACTTTCCATACTTTGTATCTTGAGTATTTTATTTAATTTCCTCTGCAGTATTGGGCTTTGGTGGTAATTATCAATGGAGTTGTAACTTTAAGTTAGATCAGGCAAATTTGCAAAAAAGGTCAAATAAAAATTACATGACATTTATTAGAATTCACTGTATTAATCTTCCACAAAAACTTCCTTCTACGAAATCTCAAGGTCAAGAAAGCACAAAATCTGTGCGTAAATTCTATTTCTGGGTTCATGTACATTGTACAAAGGTAATACACGGGTGGAAGCCGTTGACCATGGGAAAGTTGCTAACATAATAAGGATATATAGTCAAAAGTGCAATCTTTACCTTGATGGTATGCTTCCATCTCCATATCCATCTCTACGTAAGGCTCACAAAGGAGGTGTCTTGTCGGGATTATCTGTTTCAGAAGCATGACTAAGGATAGGAAGGTCTTTACGCATCAAATGCCTACGTCTCTGGAATGTCAACAGGGTCAATAGGCTATCAGTCTTAACAACACTATACCCTGCTTTTGTATACATGTTGAATGGAGCTTCGTCGATTACTCTACAATGCAAGTAAACCTCTCTTGAGGAACTCATTTGTGAAATGAGTTCTTCACTTGCTTTCAACAGATGCCAGCCAATGCCCCTCCTAAAAAATATCAAAGAATTCAGATCATCGAAAATTAAGAAACAACCATCTATCCTTTTTCATTTTTCTGAAACATGAGAAATAACAATCCATCTATAATAATAAAATTTGGGGACAAGAAGGTTCCACTGAATGAAATAACGAAAATCCCAGAAATTTTAAAACGAAAAGCAGGATGATAAGATTGCCTTGGCTCGGATCACTAGGTTGCAATCTCCGTGGAAGAAAAAATGAACTTAAGCTCTTCATTTATCACCCAGATAATGTTGCATGTTCCAAGCTAATATTTCAGCATAATCTCTACATTGCTGTGATTAGAGTGTGCTTGACAATGTATGTCAGAATTTTAAGCTGCTGGGTCAAATATGAATCATGCATGTTTGGCGAAGCTTAAATTATAATTTAAGCTGATAAACTTACTTTTTATCCACACATTTCGTATCACCAACAACTTACTACCCACTTTTTATCCACATATCCCATGTGATCCACAAATTATAAGCACTACCAAACAAACTAGAAATAAGCTAGGTTACAGATTTCCAAATGTGACATAGGTTCACTGTCTTAAGTGTATCCTAACAAACAAGTAATGCTATTCATCTGCAGTACTGGTGATCAACAGTCTATGTGGCAGCAGGCTCATTGCCATATTATGGAATGAGCAAAACTGCACCCAACTTCATTGGACAACGTGACACTAGCTGACATAACCTGTTCTTCATCACCAGTGATGAATAACATTTATTCCTAACAAAAAGCAACAACAACAAACTAAAGCACTGCTCCTATCAAATTTGGATTCCGTCACATGAATTCTTTTCAGCCATTCTATTAATTTTATTACTAGAACTAGAAGAACAAAGACATTAGATCCTTAGCTATCATGCTACAGTCCATAATGAAGACAAAGGGTTGCTTGTCTCCACTTAATTAGGTACCAATCAATAGCATTGTTCAACCCTCCACAAGATCAACAAACACAAAAAAATTGATAATTTGAAACAAAATAAAGTAACAAAGAGAATTCTTGATGAATTACATACCTCCGAAGTGGCCTCCTTACAGCCATATTACATATATATGGCGAATTCTTGGGAGGGGTTGGTGTTGGCGGATTGGTATTAGCACCCCTTTTATCAAAACACACCTCTACAGTCCCTGCCAATTCGAAATCTTCTTCTCCATTTTCTCTGTAAATTCCCAGAAGTGTTGCATTGTGAGGCATCATTGCCCTCCTCTCAATCAAGTAATTCCTCACCAGAAACTCCAGCAATTTCACATACCCCTTTGCCATCATCATCGATTCCGCAAAAGATTCTGCCAGTAGAGTCACTGCCATGTCCATTTCTTCTTCACGCATCACACGCACTAAAAGCAGCCCGGATTGCAATTCATGGTGGTAGGTGAATTTGTCGAGATTTTCAAGCTTTTCGAGCTCTTCGTTGGTGAGAAAACGTCCGGCCGGAAGGGGGTTTTGGAGTGTTGATGAGGTAGAAGAAGAGGATGAAAGTGAGAGGGGAGTGAAATTGCGATGGGAGTATTTAGGGAAGTTGCCAGTAGTGTGTTTAGGTTGTCTGTGATTTGGGGTAAAGAATGGTGATTGATGGGAATTAAAGTGAATGGTTGTACTGTAGAGGCGGCGGTGGAGGTGGTGGAGGCAGCGGTGGGGATGGGGATGGGTGTCTAAGGAGATGGAGAGAGAGACAGTTGTGGCCATTAGAGAGCAAGAGGGCTGGAGTTGAGATGTGACGATGATGGAAAAATAGATGTTTTCTTACGTTCACTTGGTAGTTAGATTTGTTACAAATTTGGGCAATTTTGCTCCAAAAATTTGACAATTGAATGCCAAAACACTTCCCCGTTTAATCCTCATTAAATTAAATTACATTACATTTTATTTTTCTCTCTCATATTTTCAATCACACAATTTTCCATAAACTAATATTACACGTAAATCGAAAATTTTTCCTTCTTTTTCAACTACTCATTTTTAAAAAAAAATACTATTTCCCCCATTTTCATTTTCAGATAATGGGGGTCAAATGGGGCTTTAGGGTATGTTTGATTGACATGAAAAATATTTTCTTTGAAAAAAATTAAGGCTATATTTGATTGGTTCAAATTCCATGAAAAATAGAATTTGAATTCCACTTCCTCCCAACTTTGTTTGATAGGTTTTGAATTCCATGGAATTTGATTTCTTGATTTTCTTAGAACTTGAAATTTTCATGGTTTTCCTTGAAAACCAATTCCCTAGTTCCATTTTTTTTTTTTGTTTAATGAAAACAAATTCTAGGAATTATTGTAAAAAAATATTTTATTTTAATTGGCAATTTTCATATAAAATAAAATCAAACGAATACCAAAAGATAGATAATTTTCTTGAATTTTTTTTATTTTTTTTGTTGTCAATGGAAACAAATTTCATTCCAAATACCAGTAAAATATATCCCTTTAATTGACAATTTTCATGTAAAACAAAGTCAAATGAACAC